GATATCTCGATAACGGAAGATTCTTTTTGGCTGAAATTTTCAGGATATTCTTAGGATCATTTTATCTATCTATGGGCGAAATTTCAAGTCGAAATTCGTTGGTTAGCTTTTCCCGATCTATACCCAGGACCAGGTCGAAAATTCAGTAAAATGGTCATAACCTTTGAAGGAATGAATAACAACTCAAATCCTTTTAGGGTTTTTATTAGGGCACTATATAGTACTAATGGGCCGGAAAATAATTGAAATCCGAGACCAACACCTGACAACGTTCCCTCGTAAGCACTTTAACATGCCTCAATTCTTCATCTCTCTTACGTTTCTCTTGTTAATTAACAATGTATATCACAAATCTATATTAGCCTATATATTACATCACTCTTCACTACAAGAGAAGTATTATTCGATACAGATTTTATACAAATGAATGATACTTTATCTACAACTATGAATAAAATGAATTGTTCTAGTTGAGTGTGATGAAGTCTGAAATGTAAATAATCTATATATTATTACCTCTTTCACATATTTGCGTTGCTAAGAATGGTAAACATACTGGTTGTGATGAACAACATGAATTAATAACACATATAGAATTATTTGATGAACATGTTTGTGTAATATTATTACATGTTTCTAATATTGAACATAAAATACCAGGTGCACAATAACTAATATTATTTATTGTTCGATAATCAAAACAAGATGTTGATGATGAAAGACAATTATTGTTACCATTCAAGCTTGTATTACATTGTTGTAAAGAACAATTCGATGCTGAATTCGAAGCTGAATGAGATGATGAAGACAATGTAAACTGAATAGAAACATTATTTTCACTACAAGAATAATCAGGTAACTGTGTCGTTTGTCCTATGGAATTCATTTATATTATGATAGAATCAAATGAAAAAAAGATAATCTAACAAACCTTTTACAGATGAAATGGACATGATGAGAAATAGGACGATGATAGACCACATTATTTTTTATGTGATCGAAGAAAACAACAAAGTATGCACAACAATGACTGATTTTTCTTTACTCCTTTTTCCTCATTACTTCTTACATTTCTCTTTTAGGTGGAAGATCATAAAACTGTTTCTCTCGACACTTGTTTGTGTTCTTGAAATCAGAAATAAATTTCTCTTTTTTTTATTTATTCATTCAAATTTATTCAAATATTTATTTTCTATGTCTACCATTTTCATTTCATTAAAGACTCTCCGCTTCTCTTGTTTCATAGTAACTAAAATCATGACGTTTTTTCATTCGATATATAAAGTATCTGATCAGTTATATGAAATTGTTTTATTGACAAAAGTAAAATAAAACATCACTTGAACAGATTCATGTTTATTTGTTAATTTCTTTGTAGGAATTCACTCATTACGCACAACTCTTTGAAAGTAAATAAGAGATTCGATTATTTTTTAATACTCTTTTGATTAATTTAAATCCTTATTTTTCATGTAACTGTTAGTTTTAGAAAATCATTTTT